ATCCCTAGGGGAGGGGGTTTCTTTTCCATTTGGCTATCTTGATACGATAAATCAAAGGATCTCGAGGAGGAGAGGACCGAGGAAATTGATGATAAAGAGTATCCCACTCAAATTCTACTTGCTTTTATCTTAGGATTAGAATCCGGGGTTGTGGTTAGTGGTGCATGACCACTTTTATTTTCTATAATTTTGGGTTGTAATAACTTGGTCATTTACATACGAACATTACTTTAAGGAATTAATTGTATTGATGTGTTTGATTTGACATGATTGCGTATAGGACCTTTCTTACTTTTTCTAGCTTTTTGGCATTTATTTGTCATCTTTATTTTAGCCTAGATATGCGGAGGCTAGTGAGGGCATGATAAAACTTTTTCTATTCAAAACTTAAATAATTTTTTTTAGATAACATAAAAACTCTAACGAATTAAGAAGTAAGACCGAGACCACTGGGAGTTCTCAAAAATATATTCTTGCTTCTCTTCCTTGTTAGGCATCACCCTGCCTACGGGTTCTAGCAAACCACTTAGCCTTTGCGGAAGTAAATCTATCAAAGGAATGTTGTGAAATCTCTTGGGAAAAAAATTCTCAAGTTTTTTTTTAAAACTACTACATATTTATTTTATGAATTTAATTGAGTCAATCAGCATTCATTATATTAAAAATTAATTAAAAGAGTTAAAAATTTTAATTGCATTTTCCTTAAGCATTTTCACCCTATATAAGTCAATGGATCAATTAGGATCCGCTCTAGATGTTAGTCCCAATTCTCAAAAAACTTTAATAATAATGCCCCTACCACTCTTTCATAAAAATGATCAGACTTATAAATTTTAAATTGACTAAGTTGTTAGTTGGCTCCCCAATCTTGGTCGGGGTAAGTCCAATTTTTACACTACATTATCTAGGTTCTGACTAATGTGTTCTAGTGTCAAAATTTAAGTTTAGGATATGAGGTAGATTCTTAGTCGTAGGACCCCAACCTCCAAAAATATAATCCCAATTTTTGAATAAATTATTTAATTCAAATTAAAATTCTTCTCAATCTAAAAATTAAAGCACAACACTTAGTTTAGGTTGGGGCACTTATGAATTATTTTAGAATCTCTAAGTTCCTCCTATGCCTCTTTAAATAACTTCGAAATTATTAAGTATTCAAAATTTGATCCAATCACTGTTGAAACTTCAAATTCACCTCCTTTGACATCACTCTTAGAAAATCTCTAAACAAAATTTCTGTCGTTATTTTAATTGAGAGTATTCATTGGAGAATCCAATTTTTTATGGTGTAATTAACTACGAGGGATTACGTTTGTATGAGATATAGAACCCACTTCAATTTTTTAAAACTCAATTAATAGTTCTTTTGAGAAATCAAATTTATAATGATCATCTTCATCATCATAATCGAATGATTGTTAATGGATGATATCTTCTTTCTTCGGGAAAACATATCACTTGTTAACATAAATTCGAATACAAAGTTAATGATCATTTATCTTGATTATATAGTGTGATATTTGACTGAACTTTATTTAGACCCTCCGGGGTCATATGTGGTTTTCCCTTAAATTAGGCTATGATATTTAAGAGAAAATCCATAATTCTGAGTCTGAACCCGTTAGGCGATTTTATCTCTGCCTTCTGGGATGATCTATTTCCCTAATGGACTGTTCGACTTCATAATTGAAATTTAAATTTAATTCTCAATTTTCTCAAAGAAATTTAATTTAGATTTATTTTACACATTGCAAGGAAAATCACCTTTTTAAACACCAATAGTAGATAGCTTTGTAAGGTGTTATAAGACATTATAATCCACCTTTAGAATCTCTATATCTTACATGATTGGTTGTTGAACTTGTTGAGGTTGATTGGGTAGTTCTAGATTATCTGCAATTTGCTTCCCTTTATTGGTAGTTGCAATTCATGGAGGTAAAACTTTACCACTATGAAGATTGACTTGCATTACTTCTTCAGGGGAAGGATCTTCATTGAGTATTGATTATTGATCATCAATCTTCATCTAATTATCCTCTAGTGTTGTGTTTGAATCGGATAATTCTAATTTTATATTGATAGGATCACCTTATACGTCAAGTACATAAGAATCACTATCATAATAACGAGGGGGCAATAAAGGCAGGCTCGTGAGCTAGCTCTTGAGGTTGCTGCAAAAACATAGGACGAATGAATGGTGATCACTATCGAAGAAGAAGAAGAATGGCATTGCTATTATTGCAGCTTTTTCTCTAGAGAAGATGGCTTGAATGAAAGCATACTTGGAGTAATTAATGAATTACAATTTTTTTCCATGGGAATATGGTACAAGCTTTTCTATATACATTTTAAAAACAAGTTGCAGTGTATGCAGTTTTATTTACTCCCCTACTTAAAAGAGGAAATTTTAGTTGTTGTAGTATTTTTTTTTTTTTTTTTGATAAACAGTGAAAAATTAATTATTTAAAAAAAGAATGCTAGCAACTAATATGAGCAAGCTCGCGAGCTCAAGAGTCAAGCCACTTCAAGCTCAAACTAGAGCTCATTTAATAGGCGAGCTTGAGTTCTTGAGGATCAATAAATCCATCACAAGACTGATCTTATAAGCTTGTTACCCTGTCAAATTTGAGCCTACTTAGCTCATTTACACCCCTAAAATCTTTACACCACTCGAGGTCACAATAATGAAAATGCATTAACTTATAATTATTTTCCTATTTACTATTCAATGAAAGCAATAAATACTTATCTTTAATACAAAATAATGTATTTTGTATATATAAATGCTTACCCACCAAATATTTTTCAATCTAGTTAAAATTTCAGAGGACTTTTTAGAACAACATTTCAAGCCTTTTATAAAACTATTGTGTAAACCAGAAAAGCTTCATTTGACCAATGCACATGAAAATTATCACAAGTAAAACTAACCCATAGAAATTCTAACTTCTTATAATCAAAATGTTCAAAATAAAGCATACAATAAAATACTAAAAGTTACACAGTGAGAATATCATAAAACCTGAAAAAAAAAAACTAATCATATCTTTTTAGAAAATGATTGGAATTGAAATTAGACTAAATTTTAGCATTTTGCATTTTGTTCTCCCCAATCAATTTCTTGACTTATTTTAGAAGCATACAGAAGATGTGTCTTTGGCTTCATGGGGATTGAAATCAAAATCTAAATTAGAGTAAGAATGAACTGTCTTATCATCATGGGTAATGGGAATGCCAAGGTGAAGTGTTCCATTAATATAACTAAGTAACCATTTCATGTCTTGGATGCGTTTAGTGAGAGGAGTGTGCGTGCATTGACATAGTAGATTAGTGACAAAGATAATGTCAAGGCGCGGGGTGATTGTGATTGTAACCTTATACTTAAATTTATAAAGGATAAGATAGGAGAACTAGTATAGATGAGGGTGAGTTAATAAAATTTTAATTTTAATCACAAACCCATCTAATCGTTTAAGCTACCTTATTGTTTTCAAAATTTAATAGTCAATAATTATATTCATAACATATAAATTCAAAATAAGTAATGGTAAGGGTGACAAGTTAGGATAATTGTTATGAATTTTTTGAATAAGAATTACAATTTTGTTCATTTCAACTTCTTCTAGATTGTGATATATTATCCTATAATTTAATAATTTTAAATGATCAATTTTTATTTTGGTTATTAAATCACTCAAAAGTTTAATTAAATTCATATTACATTATAATTGCATTATGTATTACATGGGATTAGAGATGTTTTGCTCTGATATGTGGGAAAGTGCATCCTTTGTTATGTTATAAGGGCCCTGAATATATTTCTGGTCCCATCTACTAGATGCATATGTGGGATTATGGCCCCACTTACTAGAAGTAGGTGTGAGAAATTAACACTACAAGTACTCTTGTGCCCCATCAATAGGTTGTATATGTGGGAGGGGTTTTTGTCTCTACTTATAAGATACAGGTGTGGGAGTTTAAGGGAGGTATAAGTGGAAATGGAGATATAAGCAAGTATCTGGACATGTGCATTATAATCATTATAATTCATATGTTTATGTATGAATGAATTAAATTTATGAGATATTCTATATAAAATTAAGCAAATTCTGAATCTTTCAATGAGTTTTGATGGAAAGTGAAAGTAAAGTGCAAGTGCAAGTGTACTGTAACAGGGAACCTTCTGTGAAAGTGGCAGTATAACAACAAGCGATAGCTCTGTAAGTCTAGTATGCGCTGAAATTTAGGTAATTCATATTTTGCATATTGAAATTCTTAAGTACATGGGTTTTCTTACTTAAATGATCTTTAAATATTTCAGTTGTATACTTCAATTATTAATATAATGTAATATACTTCAATTATTTAAGAACCCTCTTGTAGTGGCAGAAGTTTTGAAATATCAAAATGATATGGGTGATGAACAGCAGATGGCAATTATAATATAGGAACTTCACAAGTCAGGCGATGATGATCACTATGATAAAGACAAAGGCTAGCAGAATATCAAACCAATAAATAGAACTCGGAAGTCAACAGGTTGATATCATCAGTGCAACTAGGTAGAATGCAATGACAAGTGGTCAAGTACAACATCAATGGAACCAGATCACAACATCGGCATCTTCAAGGATGAGAACTGAAGGAACAACAAGGAGAAGATGACAAGACTATGGCTTCATTTGGGACGGTTTTCTTACTGCTTCTTAAAGCAGCTTTCTAGTACAAAAATTTTAATTTTTGTACTAAAAAAATATTTTAAGAAGTAATAAAAAGTCATCTCAAACAAAACCTAGAACTGGGGGTTCATTTTATGCTGGATTGGTGCATTCTGAATTTGCTCAGTTTAAGTGAACTCGAAATTCACACAATTATTTTAGATTTGCTTAGGCTCAGCCAAACATCTAAAGTTCTAAAATGCCTACATCTGAAGTTCTAAAATGCCTACATTTCAAATAGAAACTACTACTACTTGCGACCAAAACACCCTCTGAGGCAGATTTTTCCCTTTTATGAATCTCATTTACTTTCATTTATTGAATTTCTCATAGTTATACATGCATGTCTTTAACTTAGTTGAGCCCAAATGCTCATCATTCTAATATCCTTAGTACTCTAATTTTAAATTATGAAACTGCAACAAAATTGTTTTACATTTTACATTTGGTCCCTCATATAAATTATATAATTAGGAAGTAATGACTAGATAGAATCAAGAAGCCTAGGCTATACATTTTCTCAACCAATAATTATAGCTGAAAGCTTGGGAACTCCTCTGCCATGATCAAAACAACAAGTGTAGTCCAACCAGTAAAGGGTCTTGTGCCTTTCCCCTTTCCTTTGCCTGCTTGATCATACTGTTCCCACAAATATCCAGTTTCATAATAATTTTTCACAATATTCCTGGCATGTGAGATCAAATAAAAGGTTAAAGTGATTAAACTGATTATACTAATAAAAAACAAGACAGATTTTCAGCTTTTATAGATAGAATATACCGGATCAAATTAGATCTAAGCTCTTTGTATAGTGCATGTGCTCTACTCCTGCAAGGTCCATCAACTGCAGAAGAATGTGAGGTGTTCATGTCATAATATTTTATAGAAAATTTATCATAGTTGGTGAAAAAGTTTTGATCTTTAAACCTTTAGAGTAATGATTCAGGGCTGCAAGAATCATGTAATTTAGATTTATCCAAATAGGGCCTCTCCAATAAGGTGGGTCATGCTCTGTGTTGCGTTTCATGTACAAGGAGCTGCATTAATGGGAATTTTATGATTCAAAAGCCTCTTTTAACCTTTTTCTTGATCATCTTGGGAAAATATAAAATGCATTGAAAGAAATAAGGTTATTAAAATTCCTAATCAAAATCAACAATACATGTTCAATAAATTTGCAAGAATAAAATAAGAAAAATTGATGTGCATAATATCCAAGGGCCAGCAACATGGAACAATTTAATAGAATAGAGGATTAAGCCAGCATAGAAAAAAAATAAAAAAAAGCCCAGCATAGAAAATAGCAAGAGCATTTAATGTTCCGTTCTTCAGAAACAAGAAGTTAGACGTGGAATTTATAGCTTGTTTTGCTAGTAAATCATTGTCAAGAGCAGGAATTTAGCTACATATACACCCACTTCATTTGTGTTAAATTGATCGGTTAACTTTTGAACTTAAATTGGGTTCTATGACTGCTAACTTTGAACTGGCCTTAACTCATCAAGCTTAAAATCCCTCAAGGCCTCGAGTTGCCGACTGTCCTTACGATAAAGTAAAGACTTGACAAACCACTTAAACCAACAAATTCAATTAACTTGGAACTCAGTAATCAGCCATTGAAATCATCTAAGCAACCTCAAAAGTCGCATGCTTGGTAAAGTCATTCTTCACAAGGGGCTCGGCTACTCATCCAAAGTACTGGCTTCTCGAGTAAAGGGTTCTCACCATAATTAGTTTAGCATTCTCGCCATGAAATATCTCCAGCTGTACTAAACCTCCACTAGGAACTCACCCACAATTCTCATGAAGTGAGCAGCTGGCAGCCTAGCTAATTAAATTCAAGAAAAATTGTACAACATCATCAAATCTTTATTCCACTACGTGGGGTCGGCTACAAGAATCCTTTTTTCTTCATTGTGCCCACTATGTGGGGTTAGCTAAATAAATCATTTTTCTCCATTGTGTCATGTTAAAAGTTTAATTCTCATTTAAATCTAATAGAAAAAGATCATTTAGGTCTACCTCTACCTTTCTTATTGGTAAAATCTAATATATCTCCCAGCTAGGTCATCGGAAGGCCAATGTTTTATGTGACCAAACCATCTAAAACGACTGTCTAATCTTATCTTCCATTGGAGCTACTCCAACCTTTCACGTATATACTTGTTTTGCATTCTATCTCTAAGAGTGAAGCCATTCATCCACCTAAGCATCCTCATCTCTGCAACACTTAATTTTACGGTTCTTTTTTAATTGCCAATATTCTGCACCTTAAAGCATTGCAAGTCTCCCCAGCATCTTAAAAAAAAATTCTCACAAGCATCTTATAAAATTTTCACTTAAGTTTGAGGGGTACTTTTCTATCACACAATAGGCTCAATGCATTCCTCCACTTCAACCATCCAACTTGAATTCTATTAATAATATCCTCATACATTTCACCATCACTTTGAACAATACACCCAAGATATCTAAAATGTGTACTCTTTTTAATGATTTGATCGCCCAAAGTCGCAATCTCCTCACTAAATATATTATCAATAAAACTACACTCCATGTACTTGGCTTTAGATCTGCTCAAACAAAAACCTTTAGACTCTAAGGTTGACCTCCAAAATTCAAGTTTAGATCTACTCAAACAAAAATCTTTAGACTCTAAGGTTGACCACTATAATTCAAGTTTTTCTTCAACTCCCTCTCTAGTTTTATGAACAAGAAGAATATCATCAGCAAAAAGCATACACCAGGGTGCATCCTCTTGCAAATGTCTAGTCAGAACATCCATGACTAAAGCTGATCCTTGATGACATGATGTATTAGATGACCCCATTCTGCACTTTTTTTATCAAATCTCTTTCACAGATTTTCTCCAAGCTTCACAATATAAAATTCTATAATACCTAATCAAGCAAATATATTCTCTGATTGGCAGTTTCTCACTTTTATTCCTTCTTTAACCTCTCAGACTCGGTCCAAACTTACACTCTAGTAACAATATTGAATCCAGTATCCAATATTCTAGACGTCCGTTTTGTTCTAACAAAAATATTATTATCATTCTTTTTCCCTCTCCCAGCAACATAAAATTAAATTTTAGAAGTCCTAATGGACCTACAATCATGAAATATAGATTCTTCGAAAATTTATTAGCATATTCCATCGATATAATTGGTTAATTACAATTCTCAGGACTAACCCTCACCCATCACTATTAAAATCCTGTAAACATTTGCTTTGTAAAAAATTATTTCCTTCTCCATTAGGCTCGGCCCCCTTTCTCCATAAAGGGGTATGCTCGGATAAACAGGCACTTTAGAGGAAAATTTTAAACAAAACATGAACATGACATCGAATAATCAAAATTAAACTACATTAAAAAGATTTTTTTTAAAAATTATTATATGTGGATAGAAACACTTGAAGTTGAGAGCAAAAAGCAAGCAACATAATTCTAGCTTTGAACTTTAATCTTGCAAACCAAAGTACTAGGCAAATTAGGACTCGCCTTGTTTTAGAAAGTGAACGAATTCCATAATCAGTCCACAAGGTTGAGCGGTTGGAAATAAGCTCCAATTGTTTTCCAAGAATCCAGGACTCCTATAAAAAGAAATTACATGTGAAAAAAACATATTTTGCCTTCTAAGTACTGTCATTTAACACGGAAAAGAACTTCAAAGTCAAGGAAAACTCCTTAACCAGTACGATCCAATGGGATAAAGCTTGCATCTTACAGGTGGAATGATCTTCATTATGAATGGGAAAAGGCTGATGTAGCCAACATGTGGAACTAATTGCAAATGAGGTTTTTGCAATGTCTCTCGAACAAGTTCTCGTTTCACAGTATTCCCAACATTCACATCATGCCAGCGCAGGCGAACCTAAAAAATTAGCGGAAATAACTAAGAAGCTAAGAAAGTCCCAATTCCAAATCATACGGGTATAAATGAAAGAAACTGACAGTATACGATATACTAAAAAGCTAAGAAAGTCCAAATTCCAAATCATACGGGTATAAATGAAAGAAACTGGCACTCTGGTATACAATATACTTATAACCCAAACAAGGTGGCATAACCAAAAAGAATGGAGAGGCATGGTCCATTTAAAGAAATCATGGCAAAAGTGAGATGTTTTCACTGAAATAAAATGAAAAACATTGAGTTCATTTTGCATACCATAAGCAGGTTAGATAATGAAATCACCCAAGGATATGCAAATTAATGGCAACTAACACTAAGGTTTGAGATTTTAGGGTGAGATTTAGCTCAAAGATTGAAGATTGCCTGAAGATGACATAATTTTTAGCTCAAAACGAGTTTAAATTGAGCCAAACAAGTAGAGCAGAAGCCAAATTTTGGCTTGGTTTGACCTTCTAGCAAATTTCAAACTAGTTTTGAATTGAATCTAGTCGACTCAAATTAAAAAAGAGAATCTATATATTTTTTTTTAAATTTAATATATACATAAGTATACGACTATTATAAATATGCATACATGGATATTAAATATTTTCATAAATAAAAAGAAAGGGAAAAATAAATGATTTTAAGCTAAATCTACTCAAATTTAAGATGGCACAAAATTGGGCTAATTCAAGTCAAGCCAACCTGAAATCAAATTAGTTTGATTCAAAAGCCAATTTCAAGCCAAGATTAGATTAGCTCGAAATTGGATCATTTATCCTAAATAACAATGCAGTTTTAAAAAACTGGGAATCATTGAAATTTCCCCTTTCTTAATTCAACACTAATATGTACTAATATGTACTACAAGCATATTAAATGACTTATATCTTAAATCCTTTTATATTTAAGGTAGCTTTAGATGAATAAAACACATGAGGAAGCCCAATGAAGTCATAACCATGACAACGCCATGAATTCAAGGAAACATTAAGCAGTTTTAATTTTGAGGCAAACAGAAAATTACAAAAATGTTGACGACAAGCTATAATTGGACATTTTCCTCCATATTGTCAATAAACCACACGATATTTATATCAAATTGTTATAGGATTTCCACTTTGCTTTCTTCTCACTTTTATTCCTTTTGGTTTAACATGAAGGTCAACAATATACATAAGTATACGAGTATTATAAATATGCATACATGGATATTAAATATTTTCATAAATAAAAAGAAAGGGAAAATTAAATGATTTTAAGCTAAATCTACTCAAATTTAAGATGGCTCAAAATTAGGCTAATTCAAGTCAAGCCAACCTGAAATCAAATTAGTTTGATTCAGAAGCCAATTTCAAGCCAAGATTAGATTAGCTCGAAATTGGATCATTTATCCTAAATAACAATGCAGTTTTAAAAAAACTGGGAATCATTGAAATTTCCCCTTTCTTAATTCAACACTAATATGTACTAATATGTACTACAAGCATATTAAATTACTTATAACTTAAATCCTTTAATATTTAAGGTAGCTTTAGATGAATAAAACACATGAGGAAGCCCAATGAAGTCATAACCATGACAACGCCATGAATTCAAGGAAACATTAGGCAGTTTTAATTTTGAGGCAAACAGAAAATTACAAAAATGTTGACGACCAGCTATAATTGGACATTTTCCTCCATATTGTCAATAAACCACACGATATTTATATCAAATTGTTACTGCTGGCTTAGCATACCTTTTCCGTGTGATTTCCATAATCAAAATAAGCTCCAGAAACGTCATCCAAATGCAACTGCCAAATAAACCAAATAGTCAACTTAGTTTGTAAAAATGATGTCAGGCATCTATAGCAAGGACAAATCTTCTTTAAACATACACTTTAGGTGAATACCTGCGAATTCCACAATTTTATCAACTGAATAACATGGGTTGTCAAACTCAATGGTTTGAGAAACCAACTATGGGGGTGATTTTTTGTCAAGAAAAATCTTCAAATATTTTAAAACCCATAGAAGGGGTAAATAACACTTCAAGAACTAAAAATCTTTAAACAATGTTCTTAAATGAAAGAATCTTATAGAAGTAATAGCATATTAGAAAAAAAAAATGCAACCAATTGTACGTATGTTTGCAACAAAACATGATATGAAAGAATAAATAAAATATAATATTGGTAGGAGGAAAATAGTTCTCTTAAAAATATTGAAAATCTAAGCCTTGTATATACTTCTTTTTTAAGCAACATAAAAATGCACACATGACCCAAAAGAAGAAGACTACAAGGAAAAAGTGATACAAACATCAAACACAAACTTGCACTTCAAACATGTTTGGTAAAATTTATCGTATTGAAGAAATTGCAATAATAATATGTTGCAAATTAGAATATTACTTTATTAAATATGCATTTGCACCTAAGTTTATATACTAGAACATCTTCATGAACATGAAAATAAAAGTGAAGCAAGACTTAAAAATTGAATCTAATTTTACATCTGAGATCATATACACGCTTTGTTGAGAATACAAAATCCCATGAATTTATGACTTGGCAGAAACAAGAAAAGAATAAGTGGAATCAGCTAAAGCATAATAAAGAGTAATTGATTGTCTAGTAGTTCTATTATTGTATTCCTATATGTACTAGAATAAGAAAGGAAGGCTTGCTCCCACAAATTGGTGACTTGGAGGGGTATTGGTGCTAAAATAGAATGTATGCATATAGATTTTATCATGTGGAGCTGGCGGCCATTCAAGGTAATTATTTATCTCATAAAGAATTATATAATTTCTTAATTGCTATAGGCATCGTGCAAAAATACCCATGACATAAACAATACAACTGTTCAGTCACTTCTTATTTTCTATATGATATCAGAGTTAGAATAGTCATCTTTCCAACCTTTATTTTTCAGTTTTTCATTCTCATTCTTTTCATCGTGTCTAGATCTTTTTGAGTTCCCTTCCAAATAGTCGGCCATCATAAAATATAAAATTAAACTACATGAGAATTCCAAAAGCCATAAATCTCTCAATGTTTAAATAAAAGAAATTGCTTGAAGTGATCTTTAGATTGTGAAGACTTTTCTGAAAGAAAAGGAAAAATCCATTATCTTATTGATCCTCCTCTGGATCTGTGTTAGACCGGTCCACTGGACGGGTCTAGCCAGTCCACACGGGACCGGCTCTTGCGGAATAGAGGCTAAAGTTCCGCCTCCTCTACGAGCTGCACAAGCCGCCCTTTCCAAAAGAGCATATTAGGATGGTTTTAGGAGAAATTTAGGAGGAAAATTTGAATGTAGGGACTGTTTAGAGATTTCCTTTTGGATTGTATGTATTAAATAATTTATTTCCCTAGGGTTAGAACATCTTGAATTTTGCTGAAATTTGAGATCTCTTAGGTTTTTTGGGCTCTAGCGGCATTTAGTGATTTAGGAGAGAGATCCTCCTCTCAAATAGAGGATCAATTGTATCTTGTTATTTTCCTTCCGTTAGTTTGATTATTCCTATAAAAACTATCATTTTTCCGGTTTTTCCTTTGGATTGATTGATCGTTCTCGCTGTTTTGTCAAGATCGTTAAGTTTCACTTGAGATCTTCAAGTGTTTCCTAACAAATTGGTATCATAGCAGATTTTGGGACTGTTTGGGGGATTTTTCTGAGAAAATCAGACGCTAATTATTAGCTGGAAGGGGGCTATTTTGTGGTTTTTGGGAATCGAGATTCAGATTTTTAGTACAACAAAAATTTGGGTATCGATGGAGGCCAAGAAAGTAGATGCGTTGGAGGAACGCCTCTAATGAGAGATCGGAGAAATAAAATCTGAAATTTCATATTTATAAACTCAAGTTTTAGATTTAAAGAAAGAAATTTCAGTCATCCATAATAAGATTGATTCAAATTTTTTCATCCTAGGGAAATGTTGAAGAAAGTGCTCGAGGGCTAAACCAAAAAAATGTTGTCGGAGGTGATTAAAGTCACCAACAACCAAGAAAGTGGAGAAAACCCTAAGTCAGGGATGTGGAGATTTCAGAATGAACATAAACAAGGCCTCCCCTAGGGCCTATTCCTAGAGAGGAGTCTAGTAGAGATTACGTGGAGAGGCCTAAGGTGGTTGGGCATGAGTGGAGGGATGTTGAATTTAAAAGAAGAGGGGCTGAATTTGAAAGGCAATGACTTGATTATGATCGAAGAGGTGTCGAATTTAAAAGGAGAAGAGTTGAATATGATCGAAGGGATGCTAAATTTGTCGGGAGAATGTGAGCTTGTGATGAAAGGTTTGGGTGCGAGTAGAGGAATGATGATTGACACAATTGGGGGGAACCACTCCCTTGAGGGAAGGGAAATTTTGGAGGAAGTAGGGTTGATGTAGGAGATCTGATAGTGAGGAAACTAAATATGCCTTTTTTTAGGGAAAGGATGCACATGTGTGGATTTATATAGTGGAAGGGTACTTTACTGTCAATAAGTTAACGGATGAGTGAGACTAATGGCAGCGGACCTATGTTTAGAAGAGAAGGCTTTGACTTGATACCATTGGAGAGACATGCAGTGACCCATGAGGAGTTGGAGGGAGTTCAAGGATTTCCTTTTAGAACGATTCTGAACCGACAGGGGAGGAGTCTTGAACGAGTATTTCTTCACCTTGACACAAGTGAATTTAGTGATGGAGTACCAATAGAGGTTCAAGTACCATGCTAGTCGATTGGACCGCCTTTCTGAGATCGTGCTAGAGGAGAACATCATGAAAGGACTGAAGCCAGAGATCCGGGTAGCTGTCAGAGTGACGAGGCCTTGTGACTTGGGAGAGGCTATGAGCTAGCTCATTTGGTGGAGGATCAGAGGCACCTAGAGAGAGAAACGGAGGAAGCAGCTTAGTAAACTCGTACAGGATGACCACCACCTCATTGGCATCTAAGTAGCCAACACTTGATACTCTTCGGGGGACTTCAAAGGAAAAGATTGCAGGAGAAAGACCTGGGGACAATATCAAGAAATTCATAGAAACAAAATTACATGAGAAAAAGCGCGAAGGGGCTTTATTTCAGATGTAACAAGACGTATACTCCAGGGCATAGGTGTAAGAACCGAAATCTTTAGGTTTTTACCATTTGTGATGATGAGGGAATGGAGGAAGGTGTTGTCTTTCCACCTTGCAGACAAGGTGGATCTTTGGGAGGGTAGTATTGTTAGACCGGTCCAGCCGATCCACATGGGACCGCCTCTTGCGAAATAGAGGCGGATGCTATGCCTCATATACGAGCTGCACAAGCCTCCCTTTCCAAATGAGCAGATTAGGAAGGTTTTAGTTAAAGTTTAGAAGGGAAATTTGAATGTAGGGACTGTTTAGATATTTCCTTTTGGGTTGTATGCATTAAATAGTTTGTTTTCCTAAAATTAGGGCATCTTGAATTTAGCTGAAATTTGAGATTTCTTAGGTTTTTTGGGCTCTAGCGGCGTCTAGAGATTTGGGAGAGATAGATCCTCCTCTCGAATAGAGGATCAATTGTATCTTGTTATTTTTCTTCTGTTAGTTTGATTATCAAATTAAAACTATCATTTTTCCGATTTTTCCTTTGGATTGATTAATCGTTCTCATTGTTTTTGTCAATATCGTTTGGTTTCACTTGAGATTTTCAAGTGTTTTCTAACAATTTGAAAGATCAAAGTTTAAACTTTGAGATGAAGTAGTTTTTCTAACCATATCACGATTATATAACACTACAATGCCTGAAATTAATAGATCATGCATGTTCCTAACACCCGTAAATGGGAAGCCACTAATCAAACTTACTCAAAAGTTAAAGATGTCGCATTCATCTATGAGATCAAGAAGAAGCTCACAACAACCAAGCAAGGTAACCTCTATATCATTGAATATTTCAATTCAATGAATGACTATTGGCTAGAACTAGATTACTACTAAGACCTCAAGATAAAGGGACGTGACGGTGTGTTGACCTCTACAGCCATTAAAGTAAAATGAAATGAGATAGAAGCGTAGATGCATACCTGCTCAAATACAGCTGAAATTTCGCTCAAATACAGCCAAAATCCCGCTGCACTCATATCACCTCCCACAAATCCCGCTGAAATACCTGCGTACGCGGCGCCGTTTGAGTCGCATCCTGCGGAAATCCTGCACAAATCCTACATTTTGCCCTCGATAGCATCCCGTTTGTGTCTATAAAAGGGAGACGAGCTCAAGCCTTCGGAGATACCACGACTAAACTCCTCTACACACGACGCTCTCTGCTTCCCGAATTGCTCCCGACCTCCTCCCTCTCTCCCTCACACGCATCGCTGCTTCGGTACCCCCATAGCTATTCGACGTCGCTCCCTTCGACGACTTTCCCTTGCTGTTGGGTCGGAACTCCGACATTTTGATCGGAAAACGAGAGCAGGAGATCGCCGACCGTGACTTCTCCGGCTTCTTCGTGGACTTCCGACTTCGCTCCTTCGCTGCTGCCCGACTTTGCTCGTATTGGTGCTAAAATAGAATGTATGCATATAGGTTTTATCATGTGGAGCTGGCAGCCATTCAAGGTAATTATTTATCTCCTTAAGAATTATATAATTTCTTAATTGCTATAGGCATCGTGCAAAAATACCCATGACATAAACAATACAACTTTTCAGTCACTTCTTATTTTCTATATGATATCAGAGTTAGAATAGCCATCTTTCCAACCTTTATTTTTCAGTTTTTCATTCTCATTATTTTCATCGTGCCTAGATCTTTTTGAGTTCCCTTCCAAATAGTCGGCCATCATAAAATATAAAATTAAACTAC